GAAATTGATCAATCTGTCATGTCATACCAATAATTTAAAATTTACAGTCTGATATAACGGAATACATAATAATGATTGGTTAATAGTGTAAAATAATTTTACACTGTCCGTGCATACCAATTAAATTCAAAATAAACTTATATAATAATTTATCACACTTTAAAAATGAAACATTATTTAAAAATAAATATGTTGTCAATTTTAAATACTTTTAAAAGAAATCAAAACTGATTAAATTTAATATGGTGAATTACTTTTATAAATGTGATAAAATAAATGATTAAAAAATTAAAACACTATTTAACATAATATAAAATATTATCTTATATATTATGGACTATTTGAAAATACTTTTTTCAGAAAATTATATTTGTCATATCAAATTTTGATTTTATTTTTAATATATGAAATTTTTTGCCACCACTACAAAAATTTCCTAATCTGTCAGTGCTGTTAACTAAAAAGTCTTATGTATCACAATCATTTTTGTTATTATTTTTTAAGTAATTAAAAATAAAATTAATTTTTTTGAAATAAATCAGCATTTATAAATATCAATTAAATTCTTAAAAAATACCGCTTCTATGTATATTAATAAAGAAGACAGACCCATTCACGCTAGTAATGATTAAGGTAATTTAGAATAATGCAGACGACAATTTGCAGTGCTCTTCACGTTCAACGTATCAACAACAAAAAAAAAAAAAATCCCACCAAATAAAAAAAAAAATCCCACCAAATCAGTTTCTCAATCTATTAAATAAAATATAATTAAACTTTAACACATTAAGAATAAAAGATTTCACTTATTTATTGCTTAGACTCTACACTCTTTCTCGCAGTACTACAGTTACGCCATTGATTTGAAACACAGAATCAAAACCCAATGGCTCAAACCGTTTTCTCCTCCCCACTCTTTTCTCCTTCCTTTCCTCATCGTCATCTCCCGAACCTCAACCTCCGAACCTCTTCCCTAACCTATCCTCTTTCTTCTCCGATTCACCGAACCACCACTTCCATTGCTGTTGCTAACGTTTCCGTTGCCCCGATTGCCGTTAAGCCAGTTCAGTCTCTTCCACAGGTAGGTCAATTCATCATTTGTCTTTTTTTTTTTACTCTTTCAAAATTTTGATTATGTCGCAGTTTTTTTTAATGAGTTTTTTTTTTGTTGTAATTTGTAGCTTATTGAGTCGTTGATTAATGGTATTGATTTGACGGAAGCTGAAGCTGAATCATGTCTTCACTTACTGTTGAATGAAGGCAGTGAAGCTTTGATTAGTGCTGTTCTTGTGCTTTTGAGAGCTAAAGGAGAAACGGTTGAAGAAGTAACTTTACTCCTTTTCCTTCATTATTAATGAGTCTTAACAATTTTACTATATTTTCTTTGTTAACTATTGAGTAGGCGATGGTTTAAATATTTCATTTTGTTAAATGTGTGGATAGGTTGCGGGGCTGGCAAAGGCTATGATGAAACATGCTACAAAGGTTGAAGGTTTAGGTGATGTAGTTGACATTGTTGGCACGGGAGGGGATGGTGCAAACACTGTTAACATTTCAACGGGAGCTTCCATTCTTGCTGCTGCTTGTGGTGTAAAAGTTGCCAAGGTGTGTTTTTTTGTTATTGATTGAATTTTTGAAGAGTTCTTGTATTTGGTCTGTGATGAATTTGGTTTTTTCCATGTTGCAGCAAGGAAGCCGTTCCAGTTCTTCTGCATGTGGAAGTGCTGACGTGTTAGAAGCATTAGGAGTTGTTATCGACTTAGGTCCTCAGGTTAATGCAAATCCCTCTTTTATTGGTTCTCTTTGTTAACTTTAGAATTTCTTAAAAAACATAATGTGAGTGATCAATGCATTTGAGTAAAAAAAACTCCTGTTATTGCAAATCAGGGGATTAAAAAGTGTGTGAATGACGTGGGAATTGGGTTTATGATGTCTCCAAGGTATCACCCTGCAATGAAGGTTGTCAGGCCTATAAGAAAGAAGCTTAAAGTAAGAACTATATTTAATATCTTGGGTCCGATGTTAAATCCAGCACAAGCACCTTTTGCAGTTGTTGGTGTATACAAAGAAGACTTGGTAAGTTCTATTACTAAAATATCATTTGATCAGTCATCTATTTGATTATACTTACTTCCTGTTAAGAACATCTAATCAAGAAAAGAGAAATATTAAAGAAATCTATTTGTTCATAGCATTTGTTGTGTAAAGATTGATAGTTGTGAAAGCAGCCTCATATTGAAGTAACTGGTTCACATTGAAATTTTTTTAACAAGTTCAACCCTTTTTCTTGTAGTTATATCAACCTATTTTATTGTCTAGTATCGACCTATTTTCGTTATTTTATCGGTTAAAACGTTTATTGTGGCAAGTGGCAACTGAGCTTTGGCTTTGAGGTTTTGTCTATTATTTTTTCCTTAATCATTATATTTGTATCCTTCAGAAGAAATGTAGATTATCAATTGATTGAATAATTCATCCATGCTTGTTTGTTTCTGTTCAAAATATAACTTTTAAAATGCTTTGGGTCATCTTTTTTTGTTGTTGGTGTGATTGTAGCAAAATACTGAAATTGAGACGATTGTCAAATCCACAAACATATGTTTTTGTTTTATTTTTTGTATCTTCTCAAAAAGAAAAGAAAAAAAAAGGTAGTTTGAAGGGCCGAGAATTTAATTCATGCCATTGTTCTCCATCTCTGTCAACCCTAATAAGCTATTTGTCTCGGCCTTTGGGATAGGTCTTCAAAATGGCCAAAGCGCTTAATAGATTTGGTATGAAAAGAGCTTTAGTTGTCCACTCTGAAGGCTTGGATGAAATTACTCCTATTGGTGAGATCTCTTGCTTTGTTTTACATCTTGAAATTGTTTATTTGAATTGAAATATGTTGGCGTCTTAATCTGACTTGTGTGGTACCTTATGACTTTACCTTCAGGACCTGGTCTAGTGCTTGATGTTACTCCAGAAAGGATTGAAAAATTCTCATTTGATCCCTGTAAGCATATGTTAATTTATGGTTTTATCTATTTCTGCTATGAAGTATATTGATACAACTCATATGCTCTACTAATTGGGTGCCGTAATGGATCTTTTACTGGACATGCGCTCTTTACATTATATTGTTTATTGGAACAGTGGAGTTTGGCATTCCTAGGTGCAATCTTGAAGACTTAAAAGGTGGTGACCCAGAATACAATGCAGAGGTTCTCAAACGTGTTCTAGGTGGAGAGAAAGGACCTATTGCAGATGCTTTTGTAAGTTTCTTTGCTCTTACAATCATATAAAAAAGCTTAGAGGTTAGTAATTTTGTGTAAGTGATGGGAGGATGCTGCCCATGGAATGGAAAATATAATGACGCTTTTAATGCAACTACGGCTAGGAGTTTATGAAATTTTGGTTAAGATGGAATATACATTCCTTTCTATATTAGTTTAACCCTGTTAGATAAAATTATATGCAAATTATTGAGTTTAACCTCTTCATTTTGTTATTGCTTGTGGCTCTGCTTTTATATGAAGAAATTGAATATAACATGAAATTATGTCAATAAGCTACCTGGACATTCTTTCTGTCTCATTTTTCATGTAAAATACTGAAATTCATTTAATGTCCTGCATTATCTCTTGCCACTTGGGTCACTCTTTATATAAGCATTAGTACCGTAAACACATTTTGATCATTTTGTACAAAACAATGCCTAGATTCTCAATGCTGCGGCAGCTCTCATGGTCAGTGGCTTTGTGAGGAACCTACATGAAGGGGTTTCTTTGGCACGTGAAACACAACAATCTGGAAAAGCTCTCAAGACTCTCAACTTGTGGAAGGATATCTCAAATGTGAGTTAAATTGGATCCCACGTCAACCAATTTCATTGCATTCACATGTTACTAATTTTCTTTTGCCTCGTTTGTTGTTGCAGAAAATAAAAGATGACGCATGCGCCGCCATATAATATGCCTGAATCATATTATGTAAAATAGGTTTTGAGTTTTGGAAACTGGATTCATACAGGAAGGAGTCTGATACTGTACATGCATTTCCGAATAGATATACACAGTAATTTAAATTTAGTATCTGCTGTAGAAGTGTTATCGATTGTAAAAGTAGTTATCCTTCAGAACTGTGCAAAATGTTACATTCTCCTCTAGTTTGTTGGTGAAATTATACCTAATAAGATTATGGAATGTTGTAATTGTGTTTTAATTATAAATAAAAAAATGATTATTTCATTTCTGAAGATGACAAGTGTAGGCTTTGACACTTAACTTTTTTTATTTTTAGAATCTTGTAAAACTTATTGTGAGATTGCAGCAAATGACTCAGATGAATCTTTTTTTATTTTCATCTGATTTGATGATGTTGGTATGGTTCGATGAAACTGTTCAGTACCAAACTATTTGACCACTTGCTCATTCAGAGTGCCTTCACTAGTTGGGTTTTGACACTCCAGGGTTGTGTTTGATACCAAATATTTTGGTCCATAAGACTAAGGGATAGCCGCGTGAATAGAAACAAGATAGACCGACTGCATTTCTGTTCTGCCAAACAATTGAGCTAAGGATCAACTTTTAGGATGGTGATCTGATCAAATGAATGTGACTTCGTTTCCCTATGGCCCAATGACATAAGGCACAAGAATGAGCCCCTCTCACTATATAAAAAGCATGAGTTGCCCTAATTCAGGTATCTCATTTTCTTACTTTTTTTTCTATATCATGCTGAGACTGACTTTGGCATCAAAGTGCCTTTTGCAGGCACTTCCCCTCTGTTCAGCATCGCCACTTTAGAGATCATCCCCCACCATCAACCTTCTCGAAGTTGATTGATGTTTTCAGATAAGAACATCGGTCCCACCATGGGACGTGGTAAAACTTTTCCTTGGGCACACATTTCTTTTCATCCTATGGAAATCTGATACCTCTCCCAGTAAAACCTCATCCACAGCCACACACCATTTTACATTTCATCGGAAGCTTCATTCGCAGGAAGTTGCTCTGACTACCATGATGCTGGCTCGTGAAGATGCTTCAGATTCAGATTCTCCATCTCAAGCTCTTCCTGTTGAGCTGTTGATTTTCACGATTGGAGCAAGTTCGCCAACGACCTCTGTGTTAGAGATTGCCTTTGTTGCGGTACGTAACTTCAGCCACCATGTCAGCTCCATTATTCTCCCTCGTTTTCATAACTCATCATTTCTTTGTAACTAGTGGCTATTTGGAACAGAAAATCCTCAAAGCCGCTGCAAGTGGCCACCGTTACCTCTGTCAGGAGCACCAGCTGCTGCACTGGAAATTTGTAGCACCTTTCCTTTACTGTTCTCTTCCCCCTCCTTAAAGCCCATTAATGCCCAAACCTATTAAAAATATATGGATTAGTTTTAGGAGGCTCCTTTGGTTTTATGAGGTCATTTTCACTTATCTCTTCTCCAATTTCAAAGCCCCATGGTAGTGGTGCTTAAAGGTGTCACTGAGCTCTTTAAAGGTTCAAAAACACGTTGGATTTTAATTCCCAATTGCTGTTCCTACTGCTGATTATGCATTCAAGATTTAAAGTTGCTTGATAGTTGCTCTGAAGTTAGGCGAAAAATATTTTCACGGAGGGAAGCAAAGAGTTAAGCTATTTTTGTTTTGAAGTTTTATGTGATGAATATGTAGGCTGACTCTTCTCATCACAGATATTGAATACTATGGGGTGCTTTAATTTAATGCAAGAGTATGGGCCTACAATATTGAATTTTAATTGTTAACCATTTGATCTAGGATGATATTCTGGTTTTATGATTGTCAACAAGATATGTTAGTTTAAGAAGATCAAGTGACAAGGTAATGGTTTATTTAACAAGATATGTTAGTTTAAGAAGATAGAGTTCAAGCTATGGCGACTTGTGTTCATTTACAATCATTGGCTGGCCTCAGTTTTGTACCAATTCCCGTGCATTGTTACAATCTGAAACTTTTGTGTTTTTAGATTGCTGAATCAATTGTCTTGTAAAAGCGACTATTTTAGCTACCTAATTTACATTGCTATACTTGAGTCTTATGATTTCTGTTTTATTTCAAATCTCATTGCTTCAACTTCCATATTTAGCAATTCTTCTTGTTTCCTCTAAATCTTGTGGAAAGCGGAATTGTTTTTCTTTTTTTATTTGCTTGAAAACTATGTTTCCCTCTAACTTGTTGCTTTCAGCTAACTTGTCTCCTATTAAGTTTTAGTAAAAATTGGGTCCTATGTTTTTTAACTATTGTATAAAGTCTTGTCCATGAATTATCTGTTATGAGGTATATGGTTCTTGGTTGTTTGTCTTTTGTAATGCAATGTTTGATAGATTCTCTAACCGATGAGTGAAAACCATTTGCTTTGTGGTTTTCATTGAGTACCCCTGGTTTTGTGATGCTAGGCAAGCATTTCCATGCTTTTTAATTTTTTATTTTTAATGTTAAGAATTTCTTAATGCATCATTTAACCACCACACAAAATTATTAAAATGCTTATAGTTTTAGGAGATGGATTGTTGGATGTACCAATTTTTGAATAAACGTTGAAATATTTTAGAAATGCATCTCTGGAATAATTTAAAACATCCAGTACATTCCATTTAGAAGACATTTATATTGACTTATATCGGAAGTGCATCTCCATGAATATTTTAGAGATACATTTCAGAAATATATCTGAACAAATATTACATATTATATTTGTATGTGACCTGTTTTGTCTTCCACAAACAACAGTCTCTCAATTTTGAATACAAGTAGATCAGGCAAGCCGCCTCTAGTTGTACTCATTGATCCCCTTGAAATCTAAGAAGTACTGTAGGTAGACGACGTCAGTATAATTGGAACTCTTGTTCACAAAAATTGCAGTGTCAATCAAAAAAGAAAGTATGCTCTTAATGCATGCGATCTGTGGACCGCCACCTGCTCATCATCACAATGAGCCTGCTCTAATCTCTAGATCTTAGGAATCTTTCCATGATCAAGGAATCTCCCCCTGATCGAAAGATGTATTTCTCTGATCGGAAGATGTACCAAACACAAGACCGTTGAGTGTTATAGACATCTCACCATGCGGGAGATGAAACAGCGAGGTATCATAGTGCCATCTCTTCACAAATGCATTAAGCAACCCGTGGCTGACCAGAGCCTAACCAGTCATGCACACGTCTTTCAACCCAGATAAGGACAAAATCAACTGAAACCAATCCTCATTCGGCTAAGGCAATGCAATAATCTTTCTCGCGTGGTCAAGAAACTTTTGGGGACCATACTCTTGAAATTTGTCAGAAATAATCAGTGTCAGAAATTATCAATGTCAGCAATTAAAATTAACGCAAAAATAAAAATAAAGAATCTAACTAATGTTACATCTCAATCCCAGATATGTCTGGCAGTATGATCTAGATACAGAGGCAGTAAGGACAAATAAAATGAGCCTCCTCCAAAATCCTTTGGCCCGACATCCGCAACAGCCTCATCCTTTAGAGGTGACACTGGATCAATAACATCATCACTAGGAGGTGGGACATGAGGTGGGACTGGACCGACAACAGCATCCGTAGGAGGTGGCACTGGGGAATCCTGACGCTTGCGGGAGGATGGGGGGAGTGATATTCAAATGGTAACTCTCGTCTCCTACTGGAAGATGAAGGTGAAGTGGTCTGAGTAGAAGCACGAGCCCCATAAGTAGAAGGCTCTTCCTAACTAGAGGGACCTGGAGCCTCTGAAACATGTTGGCTCCGCTCCCGCCGAACAAATGCTTGTTGAGCAACCGTGTCATGCCTCACTCTGTCATGTTTATTAGTCATTATCCCTGTAAGTTAATGTAAGACATACCCTTAGTGCACACAAACAACACAAAAGTAAGAAAATTAAAAAAAATACTGCGGAAAATTCTGGAGATGCATCTCCGGAAACACCAAGAAACTAAAATGTTGAAATATTTTGGAGATGTATCTCCGGAATTTCCTGTAGAAAATTAAATGTTGACCAATTTCGGAGATGTATCTCCGGAATGTTCTGTAACTCAGAATAACGTGAATGACGTAATGTACCACATGCAAGGTTAAAAAAATTGTTTTGATCACCATTTTCAGCCAACAAACAACAAATACACTATGTGTAAACTATGTTAGATGTGATTTCTACTCATTTCTAATCCTAAACATTAATTTATACTCATTTACACCAAAAGGGAAACATTTATCAAAAACTCGAAAAACTTACTTTAAATTGACGTTTTTGATGAAGTTGGATGATGTTACAGATGAAGATTGATGTTCCCTTGAGTTCTCTTAAGCCTTGTTTGATGAAATTTGACTTGGTGGTGTAGAGTAGTGTAATGAGAGAGTTTGAATTTGTGGTTTAAGAAATTTAAAATGAGGAAGGAGAAGAATCTGACGCGACTTATGCTCCAAAATGTTTCGGAGATGCATCTCTGGAATATTTTAACGTTAACTTACATTTAGGTGCGCCCGAAGATGCATCTCCAGAAACAAAGGGAATTTGTGAAAATTTACATGGTGCGGTAGAAAGTCTTAGGGTGTCATAAGAAATTCTCAAAATGTTTTGTTTGCATTATTCTTTTAGCCATTCACTGTGAAATTTGGCCCCCTCCTTGACAACAAAAGTACTATCAAAATAAAGGGATTTGATTTTCCCACCCTAATCATTGCTCCTATACCTTAGTGAAAAATCAAAGCTACTTCTAGAATACGAAAATGCATTTTCGGACGCACCCCATTCACATTTGTTTTGAGGCGGGCCTAAAGATTATGTCAAAAGATACTACATAAATGCACCTTTATATAACTTACGGGGGATGCATCTCCGGATGCATTTTTAATTAAAAACGTGTCAGACTTTTCTCCTTCCTCATTTATCTTTTATTCTCTCGACTTATAAACTCTTCAAACTCTTGAAACCTCTCGACTCTCAAACTCAAAATCTCTCGATTCTCAAACTCATTCAACTCATGTCTATGTTTTTACCATTAGCATCCGATTGATCAAAGAACTTAACATCAAATTCGCATTTGGTAAGTTTTTTATTTCTCTATATATTTTTTTATTTCTCTATACATTTGTAGAAATTATGCATTAGGTTATGTAATATGTGATTTAGATATGTTTTAAATGAGCAATGTGTTTGATAGGTAGTCTAAATGATTAATGTACTTTTTTGGATGTTGGATACGATTACATTTATGTCATTTTCGTTCTTCTTTGAGTTGCAGAACTTTACGGAAATGCATTTTTGGGTTTTTTCAATGTTTTAATTTCCAAAATTCGGAAATGTATTCTATATTATGTCTGTATGCATTGTTTGTCTTTATTTTATTGTGTTTCATCTGTATAATGCTTGTATGATTAATTATAGGCGTTATGGCTGATAACCAAGATAGACTGAGGCACAATAGAGTTGTGCAACATGAATCAGTTTATAGGGAAATATGTCAATCATCACAGACACCACTCGATTCTAGCTCGCTTAATGCGAATGCGTCAACTTTTAGGGCTCACGCATCTCCGCCTATATCTCCCCCCTATGAGGCAAGTGTCATCTCCAGATTCTTCGAATGCTCTACTAATACATGTTGAGGCACTGCAGACACTCTAGGGGGTTTGGACGATACCTGTCTGACTTATCATTGTTGCCTATAATCCGAACCATATTGTCAGACATGTGTGGGACAGAGAGATAAAATTCAATTGTATTCATTCTATGAAATACGTTTGTTATAATATTCAAAGTTTTTAGGGATGGTTTATTTTTCTGTAACACCATGATGCTTTAAAATGCATCAATCATCGTCGAAAGCTTGCGGGTCTACTGAAGCCTAATGAGAATTGGTTTTAGGATGTGATGCAACTATCTAGGATGCGAGACTTGTGCAATTTCAATTATATTACTATTAATAATGGTATGATGTCCGTGCTTGTAGAGAAATGACATTTTGAGACGTAATTTTGTCATCTTTCACATGGTGAGATGTCCATCACACTAGACGGTGTCTCATGCGGGATGCATCTTTCGATTAGGGGGAGACTGTTAGACCACTACATGATTATCAAAGATGAGACAATGGAGCTAATGGTGACCTATCAGCTAGCTACATGCTATTGATGGTAACATATTTGCATCTTTTAGTGTTTGTGTATCATTTTCATAACTCTTGTGCTACGTCATTACTAATAATTCGTATGTAATATTTGTAGGCTTAAGACCTCAAGCACTTCCCACGAATATCCGACTGGTCATATGTTCCGACCTACACTAATAATATGTCGTGTGCTTTTGCATTCACCCCACTCATAGGGAATTAGGCGATGAAGTCTTTTAGAATGTATCTTAACCGCTTGATAGCAGAAGATATACACTTCCAGGCATACACCAGTCACGGTTAGATCGGTCCCTTAGAAACATAGCCTTATAATCTAGATGGAGGCTTCTAGATTACGTCTGGTGTATTAAAATCTAGTTGAGCGTGTCATGCGCCAGTTCGGCTATATGCAGTTTGTTCTTAGAGATCCACCTGATTCTGCTCCTCCCACTATGGCAGGCAGAGATGTAGATGCTATGTTTGATGATTTCCTTAATCATTAGGTACCAGATGATGCACGCGATACCCTAGATCCTAATGAATAAAGTGATGCGTATGCCTACATCCAATTGTATTTCAGGATGTCACATTCTTATATGACATCGGATGCATGGAGGTCCTCATAAGCCAACTTATTAGGAGATACTATAGGAGGAACATGCTAGGGAAAATCATGTTGTTGTTATTGTCTTGCCTAGATGCTGACATATCATGGATATTATGTAGTATAGACAAAGGAGTATTTCTGGAAGGCTCTGAAATGAGGGACATTGTAGACGCCATCTTTGATGAGCCACATACAATATTATGGATTCTGAATTTATTCATTTATATATGACATTTTCATATTATTTGATAAGTGTATTGTTTAGTTTATATAAAATTTAATATGATAGTATCTATAATACATCGTCAATTACATATGTGTATCTCTAAAACAAAGTCAAAATTTATTGTCTGTGGTGAATAAAAAAATGCATCTCTGTATTCTGTCTAGTGTACAAAGATGATTTTCGAATCAATTTATCTCAAAATAAATGTGACTCAGTTAGGAATGCGTTGGGTGCATATAGGGTCAATTTAAAAAGAGGGTGAGACTCACTTTAGATATGTTTTTGTGTGAAAAAAGTCCATTCGAAAATGTCCATCCAGATTCTGAGAGGCATTTTCATATTTTCTTATGGTGCTTCTCCACCACTTAGGGTGGGAGAAGCAATTCCCCAAATAAATGTGGCATTTTATTAAGTAAATCCACTTATTATTGTTACTTTGCCAACTCCCTTGTTTTATGATGGCACAATATGTCATTGCATAATGTTTCATTGTAATTTGTTTATATGTGTGTTTATTTATTTCTATTATTTTAAATATATACTTGTACGGTGTCAATCAATTTGAAAATTTGGATATTTTTACTGTTTGGTTGGATGTTGTTTTATGTTGAAATTGTTAGGGTATTTGTTCATTGTACTATATGTAATACTACAAAACTCTATGGAAATTTGAAAATGTCATTTGTCATTGTTCGGAGATTGAAATTTGAATGTACAACAATACGATAAATCTCTTCATTAGAAATGCACCCCATCTATGTAAAAAAATATCTGGATATGAGAATTTGAATTCACCTTTCAGATTTTGGAATCCAGAAACATTAGACAATAAAATTAATTTTAAATTACCTTGCACGGGTAACACTCTTCATGATAATAACACAAAAACCTTAAACCCTTCCAAACATAGATAATTTAGTTTATTTTATGCAACATGAACGTAAACTCAGAAAATTGAAATTCGTATTCTAGAATGGTTGATCCGGATATTGAAATTTAAATTAGTTGAATGGTGATTGAAATTGTCTTTTTTTTATTGGTTGTAACTATGGTGCACCTTGATGCTATCAACAGAGCTATTGCATCTAAGGATGGTATACTAGGTATTGAAAAATTATTTACCAATAACAAGATTTTACTATACGTGAACACAAGCTTCATTGGGTTTACATAGAGGCTTCCAAATTAGATTCGACATTGTTATTGGGATAACGAGCTCTGATTTAATGGAAGATAATTTTTTTTACAATGAGATGTGAAAGAAGTAGTCAGTATAAAAATTTATTCGGATGTTGAAACGTGATAACACCAGAACAAGCAAATATGGATTTCTTTTTAAGTTGCGAGGATACCACAAGACGAATAATAAATAGACATTTAATGTGATTTATGGTATACATAATCATGTATTGTATCAAAAATTTGTTGGCCATCTAATTGTATGTCGTCTGAATCCTGAAGAGAAAAAACTTGTTTCTAACATGACATTGAACATGGTTTAACCTAAAAACATACTCAACTTTGAAAAGGAAAAGAAGTGAGAGCGTCTCAAATATTAGACAAGTATATAATATTCGTACCCGAAAAAACAATATGATAAGAGGTCCAAGATCTGAAATGAAACAATTGTTGAAAATGTTGGATGATGATCATTATGTATCTACGTGTATAGTGTGTGGTGATGGAAAAATTGTTCGAGATATATTTTAAACTCATTCTGATTCCATCAAATTGTTCAACACATTTTCCATTATACTGAAAATTGATTCAACATATAAGACCAATAAATACAAACTCTCTCTTCTATAATGATGGATTATTCAATTGACCTTTTTTTTTTGTGATATAAGAGAGCCTAAGCCTGGACAAAAGGAAAACTACACTCTAACCATTCTACTATAACAAACTCCAATAGGATTTGATAAATAAATAGAGCTCGGTCTTATGGACACATATCATAAAAGATAATTCTGCCACTATGACTCGCTCTTAATCTTGCAAGAGCATATGCACAATTATTAGCCTGATTATAAATATGATATATTTGAATTTCTCACTCTTGGTTGATCAAGGTTTTTATTTTTTGAATTAGCCCCAAACATGTTGCCATCTTATGATTCTTGCCTATGAGAGCTCATGAATCTCCTTATTATCAATTTGCACTTCCAATTTCTTGTACCCTTTGCTATAGCCTTCATAGACACCCTAAAGTTTCACTATAAAAATGGAACACTTTCCAATATGCTTGGAGATTCCTCATATCTAAGCACCATATTTATCTCTAAAGACTCCTCCACACCTCGCATGCCCTTTTAATTGCACTGATTCGTCTGTATTAGTATACCTTCTCAAAAAGATCTCTTCTATGTGATGGGTGTCCAACATGTGCTTGGTACGGGGACTTACTTGGCGTTGCCTTCAATGATTATAAGAAGAAAAAAAGGAGACATTTTTCTTCGTTAACGATCATATTTGGAAGATAATTAATTCTTGGAGAGGGATATTATTGTCCAGGGCAAGGAAATAGGTTATGATTAAGTCAGTTCTACAAGTCATTCTCTCTTATGTGATGAGTCTCTTTATCCTACCTGATTCCACGTTGAAGGATATTGAGAAAATTGTGAAGTCTTTCTAGTGGGGAGGAGGTAATAATAATAAAGGAATTAGATGGTTGGCGTGAGATAAATTCACTTGTCTTAAGAATGAAGGCGATATGGTGTTTCAGGATTTTAGGGCATTTAACATGGCTATTGTTGCGAAGCAAGGGTGGCATATCATGATGTAACCAAATACCATGGTAGCTAGAGTCTTCAAATCTAAGTATTTCTATTGTTCTTCGTTTTTTGAGGCTAGTCTTGCTAATAATCTTAACTATGTTTGGAATTCTTATCTTGGGGTGTCATTGGAGAATAAGGGATGGAAGTAAAATTAATGTTATGAGCCTTGGGTGAGAAGTGAAATTAATGTTATGACAGAATATAAAAAAACACATAAGTTTCTCTGTTATTGCTGACAGCGTGTTTCATTCTACCAGCAAAGTTTTCCAATGCACAGCAAAGTTGATTGGTAGGTAAAAACAGGTAGATAAAATCAAACACAATAACCTACGCAGCTACGGTCGTTGTAGTCGTAGCAGTTTACTTTTTCTCTTCCCAATTTCTGTTTTATTTTCTTCAATAAGTAAAAACAAAAACGCAATCCTCAATATTTTTTTAGACATTTTTACCCCTGAACCGCGCGTCATTTTCCATCGCGTTGTGCTTGTGTATCGAGGAAGGGCACACTAGTGTGCTCAATTTGATAATCCCGCGCGTTCATCTTAGGTTGATTTTCGATTTTCTCATTTCTCATTTCTCTTCCATCAATCCATTTTTCTCACGTAACCGTGAAATCATGAACGGATCTCCGGATCCGTTGGATTCGTTTCCTCGCTTACGTGTTCGCCAATCGGACGCCACGTCTCGCCGCTCATCCTTCGGCGCCGATTCCGAGTTGGAGCGTTACTGTAGCGCTAACTCGATGATGGGAACGCCGAACACCAGTATGAGCATGTGCAGTGCTATAACCGTTTTTCATGATTTCTCTGATGTCGATTTTGGTTCTTCCAGAAGCTTCGAGGATGGAATTAATCGGAAGAATTTTAGGTTTGGTTCGAGTGGATTGGACTTGTACGGTGACGATTGTGACGAGCTTGATATGACTACGATTGATTCATCGGAGTTGATTGGGAATAAACGGAGTGAGGAATCTGATGGGAAGGGAAATGAGGGTGAGGTTGGGGAAAGGGAGGTTGAGATGGAAGAGGATGAGGAGTTTTCGGACGGTGAGGATTCTATGTTTAATTATGGGAGTGGATGTGAGGGTGATAACGAGAATGAGAAGAATGAGTTTTATTCTTCCAGGAGGGTTCGTTTTTATGAGGAAACGGAAGTTCGAAATGAGAATCCGTTATTTATGAATTCTTCGGTTGCTTTTGGTTCTCATGATTTGGATGATTTTTTGATTGAAAACGGTTCGGTTTCTGTAGAGTCTGATTTGTTTCATAATCCGCGAGAAAATAATAATCGAGTTCAAGAGAATGAGGTAAGTTCTAGTCATAAAGAGGAAAAGAACGAGGTCATTCTTAATGATGAAGTTGATGAAACAAAAGATATTGGTGATCGAGAAGCTTTAGAAGAGGTAAGGGATATGGAGAGGAACATTCCAGTGGCTTGTTGTGAAGTTCAAGGCGCTGGCGAATTGGTTGGTTGTTTTAAAACTGATGATTTGGGTCTGCTGCCAGAAGAAGATCCTCAGAAGAGTTTGAATACTAATGGTGGTGGAAGTGAGGGAAAAGGTAATGGACATATCAACAGTGATGAAGCTGGTACCTCTGGTGATGCTCAATGGGAAAATCCGGAGTTGGGTAGTGGAGTTGATGTAAGTTCTTCAACTGTATCTGTTCATGTAGGGAATTTAAATGCAAAATCATTTGAGAACCTTAAACCACTTGTGCTGCCATCAAATGGTGGAACGAGGCAAACTTTAGAGAGGACTTCCACTTCAACAAATGTATTAGAAAACAGTCATGTGGTATCTAAGGTGAGCAGTGAGTCCTTTACTCATGTTGTCTTTCAACTTATTGTTTCAAAACCTTACAATTGTTATATGTGCTAATTCAATTTGTACAATTTAAATTAATATGTATGTTAAAGGTTTTAATTTGTAGTCATAGTTGAGGAGTGCCCATAGTGGCATGATGGCTAAAATGGTCTGATTTGGGATTCAATTGCAGTATTATGCAGTTGCAGCTCAATGAGTTTTTGTCATGGATGCATTAAATGACACAGTTTGTGATTTAAAGCCTTGTATAAACCCACTGTGTTTAATATGGCATTTCTAACTTGATATTAACTTAATAGGCATAATGTTCAGGAAGACACCAATTTGGCTGACTGTTGAAACTGTTAATTATTTACATAATTCATTAAGATGTATTTAATTGAAACCAGCTTTTGTAATCTATACTATTACTTTTTCAAAAAAAAAAGACATTTTGGATGAGTGACTCAATTAACTTGTTTCTTGTCTATGATGTTGACAAAGGTCGTTTTATTTTCCGCCTCATATAAAAGATGGTAAAAAATGTAGTAGAAGATTGACTTTTGACATTGTAGCAATTATCATTCCACCCATACAGGATTTTATTGTTTCACTAAATATTGCAGATAGAGGACTTTGAGCTAAATGAGTTCTATGACGAGGTTGTTCAGGACATGGAAGAAATTTTACTGGAGTCGAGGGGTTCTCCCGCGGCTAGGTTTTCCATGGGTAACAGAATGCTCGATCCACTAGTGTCTATGCCTTCAAGAGATGGTGGGTTGACCGCCTCTACTTCTAGTGCAGATGATGCTTATCTGCTAGTTCAGCGCCCAAGAAGAATAGATAGGATTGAAGTGGTAGGTGCAAGGCAGAAAACAGGGGATGTTTCTTTCAGTGAAAGATTGGTTGGGGTGAAGGAATACACTGTTTATAAAATGAAAGTATGGAGTGGCAAGGATCAGTGGGAGGTTGAAAAGCGATACCGTGATTTCTTAACTCTTCATCGTTGTATGAAAACCTTATTCAACGAGCAAGGCTGGACTTTACCTTTGCCTTGGTCTTCTGTTGAAAAGGAATCAAAGATATTTAGAAGTGCATCTCTTGATATTATTGCGAAGAGAAGTGTTCTCATTCAAGAGTGTCTACAGTCTATTCTCTCTTCCAGGTTCTTCTCAAGTCCTCCAAGAGCACTGGTTTGGTTTTTATCCCCTGAAGATTCACATCTTAGTTCACCGGTGTCAAATTCTACAGTGTCTCTGTCTTCTTTTACAAGAGGGGAAAACATTAGAAACTTTTCCACTTGGGGGAAGACCATATCACTTATTGTTGAAATCCCATCAAATAAATCAACGAGGCAGCTGCTAGAAGCCCAACATCACAGATGTGCTGGATGCCATAAGCATTTTGATGATGGAAATACTTCAATTTGGGATTTTGTACAAACGTTTGGATGGGGGAAGCCTCGACTTTGTGAATATACTGGTCAACTGTTCTGTTCTTCTTGCCATACCAATGAGACTGCAGTCTTGCCAGCAAGGGTTTTACATCATTGGGATTTCACTCATTATCCTGTATCTCAGCTAGCAAAGTCATATCTGGATTCTATACATGAACATGTAATTTTGGATTTAATGCTTTTCCATATTTTCACCCAATATTCTTTCTGATGCATGTTTATGTTCAAAGTCTCTTATGTGTAAGCTAACTAGAAAGTGATGTTTCTATCTCTTCTCTTTGTTGGCCTCAAAATCTAGAATCTGCTAGATTCTAATACATTGATATAGTAATTGCAAGTTTTAAGGAGTGCTGTTTATTTGCAACTAAAGTGAGCATTGAGCACACAGATTGTGAAGTCATGCAAAGCAACTACATTAATGTATACAAATTTGATTCATGCTAAGTTCTTATTTGCTAACTCCTCTTGCATATTGAATTTTATGGCTTTTATTGGTTATGGTTGTAGCTTAATTTTCCTTGTCATAATCGCTTTCAGGATTTAGTTTCATTGACTTGTAAATTTGGGTTTGGATCCAATATCATAGTGGAACCCCTATAAAGCTTTCAAACTAGAAAACAATTGCACAACTTAGAGGATTGGACATGAATTTATCATAGATGTGTTATTTAACCAGATCTTTTTTGTTACTTAGTTGAGGATCAATCAAACATAATATACTCATGTTTATAATTTTCTTTCCCCTTATTTTAACCTTGTTTCTTTTGAAATTTCTCCTGCAGCCCATGCTATGTGTCACTGCCGTTAATCCCTTCCTTTTGTCCAAGGTTCCAGCCTTGCTTCATGTTATGAATGTCAGGAAAAAGATAGGAACAATGCTTCCATATGTTCGCTGCCCATTCCGTAGATCTATCAACAGAGGTGTTGGAAATCGGAGATATCTTCTTGAAAGCAATGATTTTTTTGCTCTTAGAGATTTGATTGATCTTTCCAAAGGAGTCTTTGCAGGTTAGCTTTAATTTTTTTTGTTTAATCTAATGCATTGTTGTGCTTTAAATGAAAGGTGGTTTCCATTTAAGATCCACTTACACGCGCTATATTTCCTTTGATAAATTAATTTGGGTTTGATGGAATGATATATTAAGCCCAGTTTTTATACGCGCGCTGGCACAGACATGTATTACTTGAAACTTACATTCTGATCAGTCAGGTTTTATTACCAAATTTCTTCATTTTCCTCCTGATTTGACGGTCTTCCTTTATTATAAAAGTCTACCTCCAGTCCTATTTATTTGAGTTAAGTAGGTCATTTTTTTGGTTCTAAATATAGTAAGATACTACACTTTTTAAATGTATTAATTATAGAATTTTCTTTTATATATTTATTGTAAGTTTTATTTTACCTTGAAATCCATCTTCCTTATGCAAGCATGTGGATTTCTTATTATGAATGTTTAGGGTATTTTTGAAAAATAGTAAGCATTAAATCCTTTGAAATTGGTTCCTTGATCTTTGTAATTTAGGTTTTGTTTGGGAGTTAGGAGGGGAATGGAGGGGAGGGCTTTGAAAAATGGGAAGGATAGAGTGGAAAGAGTTGAAGGATTTTGGTTGGAAGGATTTTGGAGGGTTTGTTTTTTATTCATAACACATAATCTCTCTAATTTGGGGGAACTCAAAATTTGTATTGGAGGAGGATTTGGGAGGGCTTACATAAATTCTTCAAATATATTTTATGTTATAATATTCTCAAAATTAAAAATATAGTAATGGGAAACATTCATTTATCATTCTAAACAAAACCACTATTTCAAAAATGTTAAAGATTTCTCTAATTTTTTTTACAAATCCCCTCCCCCAAAGCCATCCCTTCCCCTCCTCTCCAAACTCCCAAACAAAGGCTTAGTCTTTTGCTTCTTATAAATGAGACTAGAGGAGCATGCATTGTTAATAGTGTGGATATCCGGGTTCTATGAAGCATGGATACTTCTAAAATGGTGAAGTGTCCGTGCCCAGTAAGTGTACGATACTTGTGGTACACCATTTTTTCTCATTATTTTGTTTCGAGTGAAATTTGTAGTTTTCTTGTAAATTAATATAATAATATAATATTATTAATGTATTTTGTTTTTGTTGTTGTTTTAACATGTAACCCAACAATTTTTTACTCTTAAAACTTTTATTGTGATGTTTTGTTGTGAATTGATCGTTTCAGCTCTATCATGTTACATTATATAAAACAACTCATATTTTTTTATTGACGTATCCGTACCCTGACTTTTTTAAAATACAGTATTTCGTACCGATACCTATGCATCCTAGGTCTAACTGAGTATGGATACATAATCATTCTGAGGAGTAACTTCATGCATAATATGATAGGACCCCTAGAATAACTAAGGTGTAAAGAGAAAGAAGAGTTGTGATACAGTGAATTATGGCCCAGAGAGACAAAATAGAAAGGTTTCCACTAACCGACTGATAACTTGGCAGTATGGATGGGATGGTTGGGGGTGTGCAATTCAGCTGAAGGGGTAAATAGTGAGCGAGCCTTATTTACCATGATTAGGCTGTTATTAGTTGGGATTTCTGGGAGAGACTTAGTACTCTCGAATTGCCTAGGTCATTTGTTTTTCTGGTTTTTGCAATTTCTGCTTTGTAGTTTCAGTATCCATGACTTGTTATCACCTCGATACAGGTCTGGATATTTCCCAGTAATAGAGTTTCAGTGCTCTGTTTTACTCATTTCCTGGTACCTACCAATGCATATTGCCTTGTATGTTTTGTTGCCAGTTTTATTTCTCTCTTTTTGACTAATGAGAGTGTTAGAACTGGTATAACATAGTAATAGTATCACTGAATAATGATTATTTTATCAGACGAGTTACAAGGAGCGCCATCAGAAAACATAGAGTAATGAACAAAACATTAAAATAGAGAGTCCTCTGTTCCAGGAAAGCGAGGCAAATGGGAATAGAAGTTGCAACTGAATTTTACAGCACAACAAATTAGGAAATAACACAAACTAAGAGATAGTTTACTATTGCAAGGCAATTCTACTCCAATAAATTTGAGATTCTTGATTTCTCCCTTCCACGAATTAGAGAGCTTAGTCTCTCCCTCCCATAACCACTCAATAACTATCCAGTAATCACTTTCTCCTTTCTTTTCTCTATTCCTAAAATTAAACAACTGACATAATAAAAACATAACTGCCAGTTAATTTATGCCGTCTTTTCTTATATTGTTCTCTAATAAGAAGTCTAACAGAGAATACTGATCGTGATTTCTTATGAAGTTGTTATTTGGAATTCCATATATCTGGTGTTTCTGATGTATAGCAACTGTTATGCAGCACTGCCTGTGATGGTGGAAACTGTGTTGAGGAAAATCCTGGAACACATTACTGATCAATGCCTTGTATGCTGTGATGTGGGAAACCCATGTAGTGCCCGACAAGATTGCAGTGACCCATCTTCCCTCATTTTTCCATTTCAGGTTTGTATCTGCTATTCTGTAGCATATAATGAGTATATAAATGAAAAAAAATAATGACATTGGAATTTTAATAAGGCTCCGAATGTAAAAAATTGATCTCAAAAAGAAAAAGGAGATTTAAAGATCTCACAAGTATATATTTTGTGAACCATCATCTCTTTGTTTTTTTAAACTTTAAAAACTGTGGAAATGATTTGCTAAAAGTAAATTGTAATAATTTTGAGTTAGTTCATAACGCTCGTCTGTACCACTTAATAATTTTTATGAAGTACTATAGTTTTGACTCATGGGTCTCTCTTCCATGACCTATGTGTAACCCCCTCCATTATTTTAGGTTTTGCTGTAATCAAGTATCTCAATTTCACCAATAAAAAGAATCAACACATATGCCCCTGTATCATCCAATTGCTATTGTGATAATGGACCACACGATTTTCAGATGTAACATAACTTGTTGCTAACTAAGATAGTCATGTAAAAGGACTCTCAGTGATATGTAGGATTAGAATTCATATTTTGTTGATTTATTTTTGTTTATTTATCCGAAATTATCAAATCCTTTTAATATTTCATGGTACAACAGATCCATTTAAATGACCAACCCAGCCACATTTCAATTGAATTTCGTGCAGTCCACATAGTTGGGATTCATTATAGATTTGGGGGCTATTACATTTTTGTTATCCTCTAATGCCTCCACTTATTTACTCTTATGTCAGTCTGGAAGTCTTTTGATCTATTGAAAAAGATCAATCTTAATATAAAGCTAAATTATCAACAGGAAGACGATATTGAAAGGTGCAAATCTTGTCAGTCGGTTTTCCATAAGCCTTGCTTTAAAAAGCTTGTAAGTTGTCCTTGTGGGGAACAGCTCAGACTGAACAAGACACGGAGTTTAAGTAACAGAGCAAGCCAATGGGGAGATTTAGGCAAGGGACTGAGTTCAGGGCTGTCGCCTAAGTTTCTCTCTGGATTATTTTCAAAAGAAAAGCCTGAGAAAACAAGGGAGCATCAAGGCGAAAATATCATTTTAATGGGTTCCTTACCAAGCAATTCTTTGTGATCACAAGTCAGAACCTGTATCCTAATGTTGTATCAACTATACTACACATTATTTTGCACACCTTAGGATGTGTCTTCAATAATCAGAATTGTGTATGTACCACTATGTAGTCATTTTTTGTAACAAAAATTGATGTATAGTATCAAGTTTGTTATCTTTATTCTTTTCCTCTATTTTGAGAGACTTTATTGAAACAAGTTATGACATCTTTCATAATTTTCGTAGGAATCATAAATTCATGAACCATTCTGAAGTAGTACTTTCTCATACTACATGCAAGCATCAACCCCAAAAAGTAGTAAAAGTGCTAAGAGATTCTGCTAGCTCATTTAGTCATTGAGAACTGGATATTTAAGATGATAAGAAAATCAGTACTTAGTCAGATTAGTTCTTATAAGAATTCATAATTAATTACATGTATGAAATCTCTATAAGAAGTATTAGCAGAAAGCAAGAGCCATATTGTATTTATTTCTTTTTCAACTGCTAATCTTCACCTCAAAAAATATATTTTGCTACTTATTATGACAATGCATGAATTAATTATCCTAAACTGTGTTATTTAACTCTTCCTTCCTCCTTCCTTATCTTTCCTTCTTTCTATGGTAAAGTTGACGTTCTTTCATAAAATTGAAGCTATAGTTTGGTTTAGTCCTATGCCAATATCATCTAGCACCTTGATATGAGTCGGGGTAGCACGTCGACAAGACGTAATGCTTCAGCTTCATTACCAAAGTGAAAATACCATAGCAAGGAATATGCAATAATGCCACAGCAAAGTACCTACAATTAATCACAAGCCATGGAAAAAAGGGTTACCAAATGAACATAAGTATATAATATACAAAGCTAAATATCCTAACACTAATTTATATGAATCAAGTATCATAAAAGCTTTTTGTAGTATGCAGATGAATCAATTTTGCAGAAGATAATAATGGGAAAGGAATAAATCCATACCATAGTGGAGCAAATGAGGATGATAAGTCAAGAAATGGATAAGGCCACCTATTTTTCAAGAAAAAAATATATTAGACAATGATGTGTAATGTGTTTTTTTCTAAGTAGTTTAGTTAAAATCCAAAAACTAAGGCTTATACCAGAGATTAATGCAAGCATGAACAATCCATTGGAAAATCACATATGTGATTGTCCATAAGCAAAAGTATCCCATTCGAAACCAAGGGAAAGGCTGAAGAGAACAAAAGGAAGAAGTGTAAGAATTTTCATATACAAAACAATGGAAATTAAGAATTACTAAATGCAAGAACTCACCAAGCAATTTAAAGCTGTATCACCAATGAGGAAAACAGCATTGATTGAGTGCATAATGATTACCAACTGCAACAAAAGAATACTATAATATAAGCTAAAGTTTTTAAGCCTCTCTTATATCAATGAGTTCATAAATGATACTTACGAAATTTAGATTGTAATCTTTGATGGTTAGAAATGGAACAAACACAAACCAAAATACACAATCAGTGAGCAATGCAGCACCTGCATTTATCTGTAATCGTTTATCATATAAGTGTTTACGTATAAGGTGAAAAAAACTATAAGTGAAGTAAGAAATTTGTAAGAAAAATTATACCTGGAATATAATTTGAAAAACATAACCCCAAGTTCCAGCATGTTGGCGAACGAAAACTTCTTCTTGTCCTCCCAAATTTTTCTCTTGGTCTGATGCATAAGAACTTTGTGGAAGTATACGAACATTATACATTCCTTGCTCTGCATCTCCATCTACATTATCAACCTTATTATCGCCACTCGCTTTCTTATGATGTTGGTAACATCCATGCATGGAGAGTATTGATCCTAACTGCAAATATCAAACAAGTATATAAGAGATTACATAATAATACATGACAGAACTAAAAAACTACTAAGATATTGAAGCCTTTTATACTTACCCCAAAGTAAAATGTGATTGAAGCAAATGTCCACCTAGTTTCAAAAACCATAAAAAAAAAAATCATATTAATATGGTTGATTAATACATCAAGAGTTGAAATAGTTGTCTGGCTATAAATGGTAACTGCTGAAATTAGCATAAAAATCATGTAAGACAATAACCTTTTAAAAAAGGATATTGAAATAGACTTCTACCTAACTAATTATCATCATATTGATTCATCATAAAAAGGTTCGTCTTTGAGGGCATGTAACATGAGCTATAACAAATGACCTCAAATTTGTAACGGTTAAACTGCAATTAAATAGGGTCTTATAATAGATAAGTGACGGATAAACCATGACTAAATAGGACCTCTAGATTGAGTCGCAACTAGCTTATCCAGAGTCTTGAAAAACTTAAGATGAACCTTATCACAAAGGCCTTACCTCCAATAGCATAGAAGGAGTGTTTGTTATTCAAAAGGAACTTACTGAGTATAGTAATAGAAAATGCTTCCTCCATCAACAGCAGCATTAACAGCAAGAAGCACCAACAGCACAAAAAAAGCAAAAACTCTAAAAGCCAAAAGCCAAGTAGGATGAATTCCTTTCAAACAAGGCTTCCAAGTTTCATCCTCAAACAAAACTGCTGAATTCTCCTCTTGTCTTTCCCTTTCACTATCACTAGTACTACCATTTCTTGCTTCAACTTTTCTCAAACGCTTTTCATATTTCCAAATAAGCAATGATGAGAAAATGATTGAAAGCAGAACCCAAATCCCACAAAGCAAAACCCTCCAATTAATCCAATAACTCTGAGTATTTGTCTGCACAGTCATAATGGGTTGCCAAGAGCCTTTAGGAGAGCCAGTTAGAAAACTCATGATGAATAAAAATCACTTTTTTATTTTCCGTTTTCTCAGAGAATGAACAAAAATGAACGCTTTATCTCAAAACAAAACAACCCAAGAAGAGAAAGAGAGAAGCTTTGAAATGGGCCTAATCAAATGCCAAGTTTTAGGCACTTCATGCTAAAAAACAGGACCTCAATGTTAAAATATTGATGTCATGAGCTTTACATGCATCAGAAAATAGGAACAAGAAAAGCAAAATATTCAAAATAAGAAGCAAAATAAAGAAACTCTTGTTGACACATATTGACTACATTAATCCAAGATATAGGAAACTTAGGATGAGTTTTTGAACCAAAAAGATACACCGACAGTTTGTAATACTAGATTAATTATTATTAGTTGAAGCTAAACTCTTAAGCAAGAAAAAAAAAGTTGAAACTTGCACGAAAAAGAAAGAGAGTGGAATAGAAGATGCTTTGCTTTTGTTTTTTGAACTGTTGAAGGTTACATAAGGATATAGAGAAGAAGAGAAAGAAAAGGATGGTGTGCTTTGGGCGCAAGCTTCTTCTTCTTATGATAGCTTTTTATATTTATTAATATAATACGCTGTCAAATATTTGATTGCCACATAACCATGCAAAATTTAAATTAATGATAAATTACATGCTTGTTGGTTGTTAATTGTTATTATTGTTAATTAATTTAAGGGTGATGAGAATGTTATTGTTATTAATTTTGAATAGTTATTATTTTTTTTGTCTAGAAACAAATTAAGGTTGATGAGAATGTTAATGTTAAAAAAAAAAACAGTTGTCTCTTGTTAGTGTGTCTTGTGGGGGAAGCATGAGAATGTTGTTTGTTTGGTGGGTTTTGTTGGGGTGATGAAATGGGTCCCACCATGGAGACCATAGCTAGAGTAGGGTTTGAACAACATTGACAGCTATGAGTCCATTCAAATGGAATGCTACAACCACAACTGCCACTACTGCATCACGCAGTTTTACACAATTTTGTACGGATTTCACATTTACTAACAAGGACAATTTTTCCTATTGCTTTTTAATAAAATCTCCATAGCAAGAGTGGTCCAATGCAAAGGAGAAAATGGAATCTGAAATTACCTCTTAGGAGTGTGGTTAATGGTTGGGTTGGTTTGAACATTAAAGTAAAAAACCAGACTGTGGCATGAAAACTACATTTCATGGCTTTTTACATTCATTGACTTTATGCTAATCAATGGGTCATCAAGTTGTTATTATTAAACGACAAGATAAAAGCTACCACATCACATCCAATTTATATTCTTAATTGAATTACTCCTTTTGTGAATTTTTTAAAGCAACAAAATATGTGACTGGGATAATTAAGTGCATTCCCCCTAATTGAAAAGTGTGAGAAAGATATTATTAGATAATTAAGTCTACAATGTGTATGAAAGTTTATTCTCTTAATAATAGGGTTATGGATTCAGGTTGTAGTTCATAGACATGCGTTTTGTAGTTACTTACATTAGTGGTGTTAGACATGATCTTACCTGATAGTAGTGTTGTGTGGAAACGTAAAGATAGGATAGGAGTTATTCTCAATCTTTGGACAGACTAACACTTAAGATATCGAAAGAATTGTGTGGAAATTATCGCAGACGAAGACTTAAGAGTAAGTTGTTGGAGTTGAAAGATTCAAGAAGCGATTCGAGTAAATTTTTTGTATATAGTTTAGTTTGTGGAGTTGTGTATAACCATTATATTAGTTTGTCTTAGAATAACCTCCCTAAGGCTATGTGGGTTAGGATCATCCTCATATAATTTTGTATAGAACAACTAATGGTTATATGATAGAAAGCAACCATGGAATAAGATTCCACCTTCCTTGAATATAACCACTAAGGTGTTCATTGAAATCATAACGATTGAGCAACTTTTGATACTAGTTCCACCCATACAACTAATGAATTGATGATTCCAAACACATTAAAACATGTGAACCAAAATGATTTTCACAAGGCAGAAAGGCCAACCATATATCATGGTCCAAATCTAATTGTGGCCAAGAGTAGATCGTTTGTGGCACTCCACAAATTGACTCCAACATGATAAATGGGGTAGCTAAGATATGGATAAAGGCATATGCATGAAAACCACATTTAAAAGAAGAGTTTCTTGCCCATGAGTTTTTAAATTTGAGTCAAATAACGACCAAAGTATCTCGAATTGAAAGTTTTATCCAAGAGAAGGGGATCAAATCATG